TAATCCCTAAGCCTGGAAAGATCAGTTGGTACATCATATCGACCAATAAGTCTATTGCCACAAATATCAAAAATTTTTGAAAAACTCCTAATTAAAAAAATACTGATTTCCTCTCCGATAGAAAACTTAATTCCGGACCATCAAATTAGTTTTCGCAAAGAGCATGGAACAATTGAACAGGTCCTTAGAATAGCTAACGAAATACACTTAGCTTTACATACAAAACAATATTGTACAGCAGTTTTTCTTGATGCAGAGCAGGCATTTGATAAAGTGTTGCTTGAAGGACTTTTAATTAAAATAACGCTCTCGCTTCCAAAAAACTTTCATAAACTTCTAAAATCCTACGTGACTCATCGAAAATATAGGGTCAGACACAAATCTTTTTACTTCGAGTACGATATCAACGCTAGAGTTCCTCAGGGTAGCGACCTTGGACCGCTTCTATACTTAATCTATACAGCTTATATTCCACAATACCCAAACAATTTGCTGACGACGTTCGCCGTCGCGACGACACTGCCATAGTAAGTTCCGACCGTGACCGCACTATAGCGTCACAAAATTTATCCACGCATCTTGGTTTGATTGAAGAGTGGCTTGCAAAATGGAGAATCAAGGTGAATGAAACCAAATGTGTTCAAGTAACTTTTACTCTAAGGAGAGAAACATGTCCTGCAGTTAAAATTAATAATGTGGATATCGCCCAATCACATTCTGTAAAATATCTGGGAATTCATCTAGATAGAAGGCTCAAGTGGAATAGTCATATTGAATCCAAAAGATGTCAATTGAATCTTAAATATAGAGAATTGTACTGGCTTCTAAATTGCAACTCTAAACTCAGTCTCGATAACAAATTGTTAATTTATATATCAATACTAAAGCCGATTTGGACTTATGGTATTGAACAGTGGTGTTCAGCGAGCAATACAAATATGGAAAAAATCCAGAGAGTACAAAATAAAATTCTCCGACAAGCTACGTGCGCCCCGTGGTACGTCAAAAAAAAAGAACGTACACAAAGATCTTAATTTACCAAATGTTGAAGAAGTTATTCGTTAATACATACCTAAATTTCGAGAGAGACTCAAGTCGCATCCAAATCCTCATGTTCGATACTTATCTTCTGCAACTGCACCAACACGTCTTAAAAGAAAATCCTTGATAAATATGAATTCTCTAGCTCAATAGCATGCATTTTAGTTTGTTAAGATTTGCAAAATTATTGTCAATTTCCATTTTAGAAAGATTCAATAAATAATCAGGGTTTAAAAAAAAAAAACGAGTCTTTCATTTATTACTAAGTTTATTGGCATTTATCCCATTTTTTAGAATAGTCATTAATAATATAAAAAATGTGTTCATTTCACAACCAATAATTTAGTTTGTTCAATTTTCACTATCGCTTACTTTAATAGTTTAGACTTGTGTCAGATACAAGTAGTTCATATCTGCGGACAAACCAAAAACTTTCATTTCCACTTCCTCTTATACCGCGCACAATTTTTATTTATTGTCACTATAGTATTTTGAGATTTGAGTGCTGGAAAAAAATTTTTTACACGTACTAGTATAACAACAATTTTTACCCCTTTTCTCTCTATGGAAAGCCCTTACTTTCAAACTTAGATAAACCTTGATTTCTCTGTAAAAAGTGTCCGGTTGTCGAGTCTATACCCTAATTACTGGAATGATATTGCTCGCGCTACCCTCCATTTCTTCTGCCTTAGATAAAGCTGCTCTTCTGGGTACTATTCTTTATGATCTCAATTCTTTTCTCTGATTACTGAAATGATGCTTCCCATACTCCCTTCCACTGTAATGTCAAAAGCTTTTCCATTCATTTCTAACAGGTGGTTTTAGTAGTTTAATGTCTCATACTGTGGCCGTCTATGATTTTCATCTCCCACAACACAAAAAACAAAAATTTTTGTATATTTCTATTTAAAAAAGAGAGTTTGTTTTTCAAATCAAAATTCCATAGATGTATTTACTTTCCAAAATCAATAAGAACCATTAAAAACTTTTCACATCTACTGCTGTAGTACAACACTCCTCGGATTACTTTGCAAGACCAAATTGCCTATATTTGCGCTGATATCTGCTTTAACAAAAACAACTTATGCTTAAACGTACTTCAGTCGAGTCGTTTGTAACACTTCAATCACAGGCCACAGATACAAAGATAAGAAGGCAAGAAGGAATGAAGACTGGGGCACAGATGAGCTCATATGTAAAATGCCTTGAAGATTTTTTTCTTATAATCAACAACAGCATTTTTCCCAACAACTCAACAGTGAAAATATTTTTGACTCAATGTGAAGGTAATTCGCTTTCTTCAACGTAATCTTTGTGTTTTCTTGTTACCAGACAAACATCATTTTTGTTTACTTTTTTCTGTCATTTTTTTACTGCGATGATTTGCCAACATCTTGTGTCAAGTGTCGACCTCTATAACCTCTTAACTGTTAACAATTAAAAGACAAGTATCTCAATTTCAACGTCACTCACACTTTGTGCTCTATTGCTTGAAGCGCCTTTTGCCGTGCATATATGTGTGTGCATGTGTGTGCTTGTGTATTCGAGTGTGTTTTG